GCCGGGACGCTTCCCGCGGCCGGAGCCAGGTGCTGGAAAGGCCGTTCCGGTAGCGGCTGCACCTCGGTGTTTAAATAGTCTTTGCAGTCCGTGGGTGTTAGGGAGAGGGTCCTGTTCGGACGTAGGCGAGGAGAGATTGAATGTCTGCGTTACACGTGAAAGACTACGTGTCCCCAGCGTTTCCAGCTTAGAGAGGTTTACACCAGCTACACCACGGAATAGATCAGGTTTGTTGCCGTATGTGAAAAGTTGCTGACAGTTTCTTGTAGTTGAGCACTTTAGGTGGTATTACACAGATGTTCTGTTTTTTTGTGCCAGAAATGCAGCTTTTCTTCCTCTCCTACAACATGAAGTTTGAATGAAGTTGGTTAAGAAGCTCTTGCCACCATAGCTCAGGAGTTTGGGTGAAGTGGTGGCTACACTGAATAGCCTTAAAATATTAGACCTGTAAATATACCTGCTAGGTCTTTGTGGAATTCCTCAATGGAAGCATAATAATTTTTAATCTGGGGTTTGCAGTCCCTGAAAGATCATGTTATATTTTTTTTGCTAGAAGTATCTTGAGGGAAAAAAAAAAAGGTTGTTATGTAGCAGTTTATGCATCTGAAGTTTTTACAGAGAATGGTATCTCTGTTGGAAAAATTTCAGGCATAAAACCTTTAAATGCTTGAAAAATATTGCTGTTTGAAAACATAATTTTGTTACCTGTACTCAGATTGAAATGAAAGTAAGATACTAGTGAAATAAAGTTTGGGGATGGGATATGTTATAGAGTTATTGTATCACTACACCTGAAAATGTACATATTTAATCTTTTTTTAAAATTATTTTTCCCCTCATACAGTTGGCAAATAAATACTGGGCTCCACATGTGAAGAAAAAATTGTCTTTTGATTCAAAGGTAAATACTTCCACTGGAGTTGTGTTGGGGTGTAAAAGAATGAGGGTCGACAGTTTTCTGATTCCCACCCTTCAGTGGTTCATGTCCTATATGAGTATAGGAGACTGCTTGGAAGGTCAACAGTTGCTTAATAACCAGTAATTATAAATCGGTTGTTATCAACTTGTAGTTCATAAATGTAGGCACTGTTATGAAGGTGTGCTATAGCAGTGCACTTCTTTTGTATGCTATTTGTTCAGTTTATTTTGGCCAAAAACTCATGAGAGTATAAAATTTCTGAGCATCTCCTTTGAGGATAAAAGATGTTTGAGAAGGGCCTACTCTTAGAATCAGAGAAGGATGAAAGATACAGGTCTTACTGAACTGTATACTTTCTAAAATCTTCAGACAGTTTTGATCACACTTTAGTGCTGTTCTAGTGGATATGTATGATTTGGATGTTTAAAACTTGGCCTGATGTGTTTGGTTTTGTGTTGGGTGTTTTTTTTTTTTTGTAGTGTGGGGTTCCTACATGTTAGGTTTCTTGCCCTTGTGGGTATTTGGCTAAATCTCATTTGCTGTCTCAGTCTACTCACGCTCTTTGTAGTATTTGTGATAGTATTTGTCTGTAATTGTTAGAACTAGGATGTTCATAAGCAGCTGAATTGCACCTTTGTGTCATGTGATGTCAAGGTGTGCCTATTGCAAGAGAGCACAGATTCTTTCATTCCTGTTGGGAAAACTAGGTAAAAATATCTGGATTTGGTTAAAAGAAACAGTGAAAACAGATTATTTAGTTGATGCCGACTTGTGTTCTGGAGACTGTTCTTTAAATTCAACAGTAAGCCAAAGAATAACATTAAAAAGGTTTGCTTAATTTTTGACCTTTTATATAAAAATTTCAGTGGGATGTAAGTTATTCTTTCAGAATAAGTCAATGGAAGGTCCTGTCAGTTCTCTTATCATGGTGTGCTTTCCCCCAAGTTGATTAACTTCCTCTGTGAGAGTGTATGTCTGTGAACATTGAGCTTTTGGACTCTGCAGAGCAGAGGTATAATTGTTTTGACAGTTTTGATCAAATAGCAGTAAGCAGAGACTAATTGAGAGTAACTTTGAGTGCATAAGATATTCTAAGGCATTTTTAATTACTTTATGAGATATATAAAATTCTTAACCATTTTTTAAAAATATTCTCTTCTATAGGTTATTGAAGATGTATATACAAAAGAAATTGTCAGATCAAAGTAAGTATGCTACTCACTTTCACTTATAGACAAGCATTCCAACATCTGTATTGAAGTGAACTCTGATGTGTCACAGAATATTTTAAAATGCATCAACACGTTGAAAGCAGATGAAAATTACTCGAGTGTATGAGTCACGTAATCATTACGGTATTTCAAAGTTTGCATGTGGCAAAAAGAAAGTTCATGAGCTCATAATCCTTAAATGTGATGGTTGGAGATAATACTGTTCAGTTCCTTGATCTAGTAGTATGTTGTCTTTTATGTTGTCTTCTGTTGTGATGGTTGTAGAAGGCTCGTCCCTTCTTTTGTCATCAGGGTATGTAAAGTAAAAGAATCAGTTGAGGAGTTGTCTGCCTCTAGCTGTTTGCTCTT